CTCGTGGCGGCGGTCGCCGCGAGCAGCATCAAGGAGCAGCATGTCATTCCCGTCATGCCCAACTACAACGACTCGGCGCCGATCAACTTCAAGCAGTACGCGGGCTATCTGGCGCTGCCGTCGAACGGCCAAAAGATGTTTTACTGGCACGTCGAGTCCCAAGCCAACCCGGCGACCGACCCGCTCGTGCTCTGGCTCAACGGCGGACCCGGCTGCTCGTCGCTCGGCGGCTTCTTCAAGGAGCTCGGGCCGTTCGTTGTCGCGAGCGACCTTAGCATCAAGCGCAACAAATATGCGTGGAACCGCAAGGCCAACATGGTCTTCCTCGAGTCGCCGGCTGGCGTCGGCTTTAGCTCGCCGCTGCTCAACGCCACCGAGTACAACGACGACGTGACGGCCGACCGCGCGTATGAATTCCTCGAGCAGTTTATCGCTGCGTACCCTGAGTACCGTCATCGGCCCTTTTACGTCACGGGCGAGAGCTACGCCGGTCGGTACGTGCCCTTCCTGCTGCACAAGATGGTGACGCACCCGATCGTCGACGTGACGCTGTCGGGCTTTGCGCTCGGGAACCCGTCGACCGACTACCACATTGACCACAACGCATATGTGGACTACTACTACAGCCACGGCCTCATCTCGCTCGAAAACTACGACGACGTCCTGACCAACTGCGGCGACGACGTCGGGCGTTGCGTCATTTCGTCCGACAACTGCACGCAAGCCTGCAACAGCGTGCTCCAGGAAGGCATCTTTTCCATCAACGAGTCGGCGCTCAACCCGTACTTTATCTACGGCGATGTGTGCCTCCTCGAAAACGGCCAAGCTCGAGCACTGCGCTACCGCAAGATCCAGCCCATGCACCGCGGCCCGATTGGTCCGTGCGCCGACACGTTCACCGAGTCGTACCTCCGACTGCCGCACGTTCAGGCCGCTCTGCACCTGCCGACGTACACCAACTGGTCGGACTGCAACGACGCAGTCACGGGCGTGTACCACAAGAGCGACTCGTCGCTGCAACACTACCCGACGCTTCTCAACGCGAACCTCAAGGTGCTCATCTACAGCGGCGACGCCGACTCGGTCGTCAACTTCATGGGCACGCAGCGCTGGATCGGACCCCTCGGCCTCAAGCTGCACGTCCTCAAGAAGTGGCATGCGTGGTTTGGCCCGGACAAGCAGCTCGCGGGGTACCGGGAAGAGTACGATGGCCTCAACTTTACGACCATCAAGGGCGCAGGACACATGGTGCCCGCGGTGCGCCCGCTCCACGCGCTCTACATGTTCGAGTGCTTCGTCTACGGCCAGGACGCCTGTGACACGTTTGCATACCCCAAGGACAACCTCGAGTACTTGACGGGCGAAGACGTCGAGTACAACGATAACGACAACGACGACGTTGTGGCGACCTCGTCGACGACCAAGGACGCGAGCACGACGACATCGGCGTCGGAAGCGCCCTCGAGTGCGGATTGGATCGTCTACTCGGCGTTCCTTGTCGGTATTATAGCGCTCATCGCGCTAGTCATGTACAAGCAAGGGCATTGGCACAAGACGTATACGGCCTTGTAAGCTCGGCTAAAAACACGCTGTTTTGTGATGTCCGTATCTTCCTTGGAGCGTCTTGGAGCGAGGACGTTCGCAGATCTTGGTTGGTGCATGGACCTGCATCTCGGCCCGTATCTTTGGTGTCGCGGCCCAAATATCGAAAGCGTTTCATGGCGCCACGTCATGGCTGAAAACACACAACCACAGCCTTCCGGACCCTGTGGCCCATGTAAACGCTGGGAAAACGACCGCGTGCCGAATGGTGTCGTCGGCTCCTGCCTTTGGAGCAGCCACGTGCAGAGACGCACCCGTGAGCGCAGCAAGACACTCGCGAGAGGACTATGGAACCGTTAGCCGAAAGTATTTGGTATCCGGATTCGAAAACTGTGCGATCTTAGAACCATCAGAGTCGAAAAATGAACGTGCTTGGCAGATTGGCGCTGACTGCGGCCGTTGCGCTGGCGCTTGATGCGGGCGACGGCGCCAAGGGCGTCGAGTTCAACCCGCACAAGATCCCGTTCTTGCCCAACTACAACGACCCGCGCCCGATCGACTTTGATCAGTACGCCGGTCATTTGCCATTGCCGTCGAACGGCCAAAAGATGTTTTACTGGCTCGTCGAGTC